ATATGGAGGTGAGAAAACAACAACACTAATGCTTATTTAAATTCTATGCAGAGCATTTGAATGTTCTGGAAAACATTAAATCCCAACATGGGCCAATATGAATTTCCTGTTGTTTTTTTTTTTTTTGCAGTTTTGCCAATATAATTTTTGACTGATTCTCCCTTTTCCCAAAGAACTGGAACTAAAAAAAAATGTTCCTAATAATTTCTGATTAAACTGAAAATTATTATGTTGCATCAATCAGTGTAATCCTGCTGCACTCATAGTCACCAGGGTTCAGTTTTTGAGGTGGTAGCTTTGAAGTTGCCAATATTAAAGATGGATTACACTACTGGATATCTGAAAGTCTTCACACAACACTGCAGCTCAACGTGATACTAAAGACCATTTGGCTGCAGAAAAACTAGATTAAACACTAGTCAAAACAAGATTAAGTCATTTATTCATTTTATTTTACATAGACACCAATCTAACAGCATTCCTGCGTGACAATCAATTATATAGATTAGGAGTAAACACAGCGTCACACAAAGCACATGCCTGTGATGCTGTGCAGCTCCTCTGGCTGATTCTGATTGTACTGACTACAGTATAAATTTTTTACCCTATCTTAGTAAAACAAAAACAAACAAACTGTCTAACAGTAGTGTCTAACAAAAATTAATGCAGTTAGCATGATTAACTTTAACTGCCTTTTGCGCTTATGGAGGTGTGCTGTTGCTAGCATGACATAGCATTTCTCCTTCCTAGCTTAGTTACGGTGCATTCACATGACCAGATAAGGGGGAAAAAAATGGTACTTTTGAGTGCTGGACTGGATGCAGTTCACTTTTACATTTACTATGTAAAAATGCAATGTAAGCTGGGAAATATTCTATTCAAGACACACAAACACAAAAATCTTCCTAAACTGTTACCAATTTAAAAACAAACAAACATCAGAATCATACAATTTTAAAATGTGCAAGCTCTGAAAGAAGGCTCTGCATCTGTTTACCTCAGAAAACTTGTCAGCCACCATGTAACGAACCCTCCAGGATTTATCTTCTGCAGCCTGGCGCAAAGTTGGCATTACAAGCGTCTCCAGGTCTTCTTGAGGCAAGAGAGTGGCAATACTGACACAGGCCTCCACCGCAAGCAGCCGCACTGAGTCCTGAAGCAGACAAATTAGCAGCATCAGCTTAGCTGTTCGTGAGTAAAACTATCAGAAATATTCAACAAGAATTAAACAAAAAAATTAATAAATAAATAAAATGCAACACCAGTTTATGAGAACAAAGAAACTTGCTCATACCTGCTCATCTGAGGCCAGAGCAGTGAAGAGTGGAATAATGTCGGTTTTTACATAATCCAACTCCAAAACTTTAGCAAACTCTCCCAGTTTCGATGCTGCAGCACGGCGCACCATAGGAGTATCGTCAGAGCACAAGGTGCGAAAATGTCTAGGAAGAACCACACATTTAGTTTTGAAGCAATACAAACCATACAGTCAAAAACCAGTTATAAATCTTCAACAATGCCCCGAGCTATGCATGAAGTTACATGTCTCACTGTTTAGTATATTGGCAAATAAAAGTCAAAAGCACTAAACAACTGTCTTCCTCCTCTTAAGAATTCACTTACTGGCGAATTTCAGCCTTAACAGTGCTGGAGACACGAGGATAACACACACTAAAGAGGCCACAGGCTGATGTGCGAGAGGTGAACCAGTCACCACTGGCCAGTCGCTTCACTAAAGGCTCAAAGTGAACTTCCAGGTCAACCGGAGAGTGCTCCTGAGAGATCTTTCGCAGGGATTCCACAGCTTTGTCTCTGACTACAGTCTCTTCCACAGTTGCAAGACTCTCCAGAGGAGGCTGAAAATTAAGAGAACGAAGTTAGACTCAGTAAAATGTTACAGCATACAAAGTATTCATTAGTTACAATAAATATAGCATTGTTGATGACAATATTGGCTTCTTGAAAGGGTGTCGCGTTTCAAAAAGGAATGTGTTAACCACTTGTTTATGACTTTAAAACATGTACCAGAGGAACCTTGAAATCTAGAGGTAGTGGGTAACACAGAAAATGGGATTCAGCCCAACTAGCCATAAGTACTGTACACAACTCTGCTTAAGAATAAATGAACAAATGTTACTTTGCAGACAGAAAATACAAGCTTTAAAAAATAAACTTTAAGAAAACAAAACTCACCAGGAGACAGTGGACATACTCCGGCCCTCCCACCAACATGGTGAAATTGCCAAGCTGCTCTGCCAATGCCAACAGCACCTCATCTTCATCATAGATGGTATCTTACAGATGACAAAAAATAAAATAAAATAAAATAAAAAATTAGAAAAAAATACACAAATTGCTAGTCAATACGAGGACAAGTTAGACAGCTGATATCTTTACCTGTGAGAAAAGGCAGGAGTTCGGTGCGCGTCCTCTCTACACCCAAAGCTAAAGCGATAGTCGACAGCTTCTTGATGCTGTTGAGACGTAACTGTGCAGAAAACGACATAAATAGTAATTCGCACACAAAGAAGACTTAGCACAAATTAGTCTACTGACAGATTATTAAAGAAACTTCACAGAATTTGCTACAACCATGAGTGTTGCTGGGATGGTGATCGTCAAATGATTAGCTAAAGCTAGTCATCGCTCACTATGACTATCACGGTAGATTGTTAAAGAAAAAAAATGGTAAATTAAATACTTTTTATGTCTGAGGGGAGACATTTGAGCTAGCAACTAAACCTACTATGGAATCAAGTGCTGCTTGTTCAGATTTCAGCTTTCCTTGATACGTGGTTAGCGTAGCGCAGATACTGGAAGATGCTAACGATGCAATAAAAATGCTAGCAGTTCGAAACAACGACGGGTTGCTTTAACTAATACAAACATTATAGTGACGCTAATATCGGTGTAATCACCAGCTAACCAAGTATGATTTTACCCATAGTTCTGGAATATGAATTACTGTCACTAATAAAAATAATAATATTAATATTAATAAATACACGGTTGTTCAAGCAGAGTACGCCCGGCAGAAAACAGGCCTAGCTAGTTAGCGAATTGCTAATGTGAAAGCTCGCATCGAGGTAAAACATTACTTTTTGATGTACAATGTAAAGATGACTTAATTAATAGACTACAGATAATACCTGGACGTCCTCATTCCGCAGTTCATCAATAAGAACGGCGATAGGGTACAGAGAGTCGTCTCCATCAGCTCCTGCCATTTTGGATACTGTAGCAGTTTTAGAATGGCGCTGCTGTGCGGCACTACGGGGTTTCTGCCTGAGAACAGCGGCTGCAGGGTTGCTGTTGCGTTCAAGGAAGCTCCGACAAAATAGACACACTGACCACAGCATTTGCACTTTAAAAAAAAATTACATTTAAAATGTTTCCGGTAAAACACCTCCTTCTGATATAGGATTAGATGCAGTCATATAATTGTAACTAATAATTAATCGAAAATTAGTCATAATAGAAATAATCAGGGTAGCTTCTGATTACTTTGTATTATTACTTATACAGATTTTGCTTGTATAAGTAGATTTACAGTTGCTGTGTTGGAAACATAAATTTAATTTGAATACTTGGATTGCCATAAAAACACTGCGACCTTTACTGAACAAATTAACATTATCACAAAACTCTCCCCGTTTCTCTCCCTCTTTCTGTAAGCATCTCAAAATGTTTTATTGCAAAATTATACTTTTGTAATTCTTTAATTCTTTTCTAATTTCTAATCCTTTAAATTATTAAAACAAATATACAAATTTATTATTATTATTTTAAGTCGCAACAGCAGGAAAAAAAAATGTTACCTCTATTTAAAATAACTCATAAAAGCAATTGAGCTTTTATTTTGAAAGACGAGGAACCGGATATTATGTGACAACATGGAAGATGGCGTCTCAGCAGCAACAACCCGGCGGTCCAATGTCTCAACCCGGATTGCAACAGACTGCTTCAATACAACAACAACTCAGTCAACAGCAAGACTTTGATCCAGTTCATAGATTTAAAATGCTTATTCCACAACTGAAGGAGAGTTTGCAGGTGATTGTGCTGCACTGAGCTAGCTAAACACAGTAGACGTCACACACAAATTGGTAACAGTAGCTATAGTTAGCTTGCTAACATTCTCTTCTTGTTTTTGGATATACAGAATTTAATGAAGATTGCAGCCTTAAATTTGTCCCATAACACTTCAATTGACAACGGCATGTAAGTTCCCTGTGCTGTGGGCTTGCAGCAATGCCTAACATTGTATCTGTCTTTTGTGTCAATCAATATTTTAACTTGRTTTTGGTTTTCTCTCCCTTCTAGTAAAAGCAGTGACACGTCAGTTCAACGCTTTGACAAAAGCTTAGAGGAATTTTACGCCCTTTGTGATCAAGTGGAGTTGTGTTTGGTAAGACTGATCAAAAACATTTGTATTTTCATTAACGCAACTCAAATGCAGTTTGTGATGAATGAAGGAAATCACTCATTTATGCAATATCAATTTGTCTTACTACGTATGAAATGCTTGATTTAAGTATAATTCATTTTAGTTTTTTGGATAGTTTTGTTTTTATTTTGTCTGAGATAATTCAACTTTATTTAACAGTGAAAATACTCCTCTAAAGCAGTGGTTTACAACCATCTTTTTGCTTTTGATCTATAAAACAAAAGTTGTAGAGACACAAGACCCAGACTATTTAGTGAAAGTATACAAACCTTGCCATTAAGCCATTTAACAGAGTCATCTCAAACAGATAGGTTTTTATGTACTCAGGACCATTATTATTATTATATATTTTTTAACAGTTAGCACTAAATATTCCTGTGTTTGTATAGTTTGATTTACATAGATTTCCTTTAGACTTCACACTTGGTGTTTCATGATCCAAACTTTGAGAATCACTGCTTTAAAGAAGTGACTGGAAGAGTTTTATTAATCAACTCATACTCTGCAGGTTTCCACTTTGTACAACTTTCCTTTCTTTTTTTAAATTAAAGCTTTTTAACATTAGGCTCAAACAGGACGTCCTCTGTAACACAAATACTACACACATTATTGAAACCTAAAACGTGCTGCATAAATGTGAAAGCCCCCCTCTCTCTATTTGCAGCGTCTGGCGTACGAGTGCCTTTCGCAGAGCATCGACAGCGCCAAACATTCCCCCAACCTGGTCCCAACAGCCACCAAGCCAGACACGGTGCAGACAGAGTCCATGTCTTARGCCCAGTACCTCAGCATGATCAAGTCTCAGATCTCCTGTGCCAAAGACATTCACAACGCGTTACTGGAGTGCTCCAAGAAGATTGCTGGAAAGGGTCAACATCAGGGGATCATGTAGACTTGGACAGACTATTCAAACTCGTTTTGCATGTTATGCAAAAATCCAGCGAAATAGTTGTTTTTTATGTTGTATTTTTGTACATACTGTATTCTTGGAAGTTTTTTTCTCTTTAATGACCAGCAGGTGGCGACAGAGTGCAGGTAGAGATTTTGTAACATTTGTATTGACTAATAAAACCTTTCTACAGATGCTGAGGTTTCTGTTATTCAGTATGTACAGAGGAAAATGATCCAGTAACATATTTAATTGGCCATTTATGTGAAAGCAATGGAAATATAAATGGGCATGCAAGTTTGACAAAAGTTTAACAGTGTAGCTGAATATATTAAAGAAAAAATAAACTTGTATTTGTAAAAATGTAATGTAGTTGTGTTGGTTAAAAACACTGGCAACTGTATTGTTGAATGAAGCAGATTTAAGTCCAATTACAGTGACAAATGGTGAGGGTGTTATACTGGTCAAAGGTAACAAACTTTCTTCTCTGGTATATTAAAGCAAAGGAATAAGTGAAGTCTGATAATATTAGCACACGAGAGGGGAGCATGGAGGGGCCTGCAGCTGTGTAACATCTCAGACCCATGTGAGCTACTGACAGGTTCTTAGATCCCAAAATACCACCCAGGGTCACCAGCAGGCAACAGAAGCTCATCAAAGAACATTGTCCCTCGCGTATAAACTGTAAGTATAGCTGCATTATATTTTAACTGCTGTACAAATGAGAATTGTCTGCCATTATTAAACTGGTATGAAACTAGTTTGTGGGGGGGAAAAGCAAAAACTTTTTTTACAAGTTTAATATCAGACACCATCCTGTGCTGACAGACCTTTTATTGTGTAAAAAATCTATAAGAATGGAACTTTTACTAAGTAATCCATATGTTGTCTATAGACAGAGGTCATCAGGTGGGAAAAAAAATTAAATATAAAAAGGGAAGGAGTAATGTTTTTTTTGTACAAAGATTACATTGGATGCATTACATTTAGGCATAATTACAAACTGTTTATGATCTCTATAAACATTCATGGATTTTAGATATTTAGGGTTTAGCAACTTAATACAGATAAAGAGTCAGTATGAGAAAATATTTTATTTGTTGAATGAGTAATGGTGATCAAAATAAAATATCAATAAAAAAGATTTAAGCCTCTTTCTTTTAAATTCCTACATATACTGCACTGTTAGGTAACATAAATATGGTTTCACATAAAATACATGACTTTTTTTGTAGTTAAGTACTTTTTGTCCACAGCTTCAAAAGAATTACACTAAGATTTAATGACATCAATTTGCTATTAGTCTGTTGTCTAGTAATCACTGTATTTACATTGACAACACCGATCTAAACTCAAACTGTACATAGTGCTTGAGATAATTTCTCTAGTGATATAAAATGTACACAGCTGGCTAACATAAGCAATACAACATTATCTATCTTACTACTAATAAAAAAAATCTATCGTGGTGTGTTTGTGTGTGTGACAGGCAGCACAATAAGATGCTTAAAAACATTAATAAACACATAAAAGCGGGAAAAACAGCCAATTTTAATGCTTTGTGTTGCCCGAGTCTTTAGTTTCGTCTTTTCCTCCAGTTTTGCACCTTTGTTCTCTGTGGAAAACAAAACAAAGAAACATCAAATTAACAGTGACTCACAAGCTAAACGTGGTCTACTGGCATGATAGCTGTGTCGTACGGAGCACGCACGTCTGCTATCTGCCTGTTTATCGCTTGAACCTGGCGTGCACATGCGCGTCTGTCTCGGCGCTGCACGTGGTCTCAGTACTGACCTGTGGGGGAGCTCAGGACCAGGGAGGGCTGCTTGGTGGGCAGCACGGGGAGGAGGTTCCCTCAGGGAAGGCATGCGGTGTGACGGCTGAAATCTGGACACCTCCTGCTGCCACTCGTCATAAAAAGACTGGGCTTCGGCTGCAGAGGGAAGATTCGATTAGGCAGAATATTAAAGATTTGAAGCAGGACACAACTGTTAGAAACGTTGAGATTTAACATACATTCATCCATGTTCTGGAAGTCCTGGTTGAGCTCTTTCTCTCCCGTTTTCTTGTTATATTTCTTCTCAACGACGTGTCCCTTGTCCTTAATGTGATGCCCGATTTTCATCTTCTCCATACCACTCTCAGAGTCTTTCACTGCTTGGTGCGTCTCTTTGATCTGAGAAAGCAAACAGAATTAAACCTTCAGAAAGACGGTAGCTCACGTCTCATAGTTTAAAACGTTGAAGTGTGTTCTTCAACAACCTGACATAAAAACAACGCAACACATCCGTCGGGACACTTACCCCTCCTGGGGCTCGAAGAGTCGATGAAACAGCTTTAAACACCTTCGGAGGCTCGTTTCCAACTTTTGAATACGTCATTACTGACGAGGAGCTGAAGGAGTGGGTGTTGGAGTCTGTGGACCTGTTCTCCTGAAACGCATACAAGCACGCAACGTTCAGCAAGCACATCTAGAAGCACAACAGTTTTTAACGGAGTAAACTCACAAAGTTTCTGTTCATGTCCTCCATCCTGTTTCTCACATTGGCCATCATGTTGTCAAACACGCTGAAGGGGTTTTGCATGACGTCCTGCAGGAACAAAAAGTAAATAAATGTGTTAAACGTTTGTTCTGGCTACTCGCGCTGCATTAAAACTTTAGACACAAGCTAATTAGCACACTATATGAGTATACAGTATTATCAAAAGTAATGTGATATTTATTTGTAAGAAAACTAGAGATCTACTCCTGTATTTAATTTGTGGTCTTTATTTGGTGGGTTAACAAAAAGTTAAACATCAGTTACTGACTTAAATGCATCAACCTAACTTTGGAAACACAATCTTGGGGGGAAAAGCACACTATTTGTATTTAGTCAGTATGTTACAAGTTTAGATGAAAAAGGACTCCACTTACTGTGGTGTCCGAATTGCCAAAGGGCAACAATGACCGACTCATATCCTTAAGATTGGAAAAAAAAGAGTAAAAAAAAAAAACAGTAATTTAACGGTAAACACTATTTTTTTATACCATGATCAATGTGTATGGAACATTTGGAAAAAAAATTAAAAATAAACTAAATAATCATAAGTCTATGAGGATTTAAGAAACATTATAAAACATGGTGACCATCACTGGAGATTTAAAAAAGCTATGAAATTAATTACTGGCTTAACTAATTAGCATTTTTTTTACATTTCTACATACCAGGGTTCCTACAGTTTAAAGCAAGTTAAATTTAAGACTTTTTAATGCCAACTGAAATTAAATATTACCAATTTCATAATAAASACAAATGATAAAAAAATAAAATAAAAACTGGCAGAAACTCAAGAAACAAAGTATTTTTGGTTGAAGTATTCAAATATTGCTAATATACCAATTGTTTTTATCCATATCTAACTATAGCAGAAACATTCTTAGCAGTCAGTTTTAAACTTAAACTTATTTCAGGAAATCCTCTAACGACCCAAAATTTGGAGTTTTAGGACCCACAGTGGGGTCTTAACACCAGCTTGCTGTAGATGAAACCTTAAAGTGACATCAATTTTTTGTAAGAAACATCAATGCATTTTTGGAAAGATAAGATTAACATATTAGAAAACAAATTTCACATTGCTCAGATGGACTGTTGAGATATTTGCATGTGAAAAGACAGGAAGTGATGTCAAAAGTGAATGTCTGTATCTGAATCTTTAAAAATATATATTTTTTACCAATTATTTTAATATTTAAGATGAATTATAATCATCCTATTTACAATGTGTTAACATTTTTAAGACTTCTGAAAGATTGATTTAAGAGATTTTAAGGCTAATTAAGGCCTTATTTTTTGGACTGATAAATTCAATGCCTTTTAAGACTTTTTAAGGACCTACAGGACCCCTGCATTCACACATAATGCTGACCACATAAATAAATGTYTAACTTTTTGCAAAGTTATTTTTTATTAGCCACTAAGCTCCTGACACACACATGCAGCTCTACACGCAGGATGAAACATTTATTTACAAGGTCACTAACGTTCTAGAGTTGCAGCCAGCAAGAAGTGAGTATGKAGGGTGCAGCCTGAAGCCCCACCAAACTGACCCCAGTGTTCCCAAATCCAGAATCTGTATTGTGGGCCAAGACCACAGGTGTTTGTGACCCCCGTGGCCCAAGATAAGCATCCTGACTGCCATCACCATMTGCTTGAGGGCATTTTCTAAGGGTGTGACGTGCAGGGTTATTGTGTGTAATCAGTGGGGTGTTGAATGACTTGTGTTCCATGTGTAATTGGGTCGCATTGCCAGAGATTAGAGTGGGTTTAACACCGTAAGTGAGCTTCATTCTAGGAAGGCTGCAGCGGGCAGGGTGGACCAGTCGGTACAGGGGTCTAACGGGAAAGGGAGGGGTGGGGGTTAAAGAGTCCAAGGCTGCTCTCTCAGCTCTTTTCAGAAGGTCAAGCTGATGTAAAACACTTCTGAAGTGCCAACTTCGTCCCACAGTGGCATCTGTGAACTAATAAATGCCACAAACGTTATCTGTGGGCATTATATTTAGACTGAGCAGAAGACGAGGAGCGGCTGCGAGTGCAAAACGGAGAAAGCAGACAAGTAAAGAGGTGTGAACTCACATGATTGAGACGGGTTTAAATTAGATCTGATTAATGATTGCAGCATTTTAAACAACGATTGTAAGAAAACCAGGCTGCTCTACTTTTCCACACGTGTGGTTGAACTTTTCATTTCAAGCTCTTTTCCTCTACCAGAAGCCTGGGAGCCTGAGGGTTCTGCACATTTGTTCCTAGGAAAAAGCTCTTCTGTCCACAGATCTACGGGGTCACTGCTGGAGTCACTCTACAACTCATGTTAGGATGCTCTGAAAGATGTCAATAAAACAAGCAAACATTAGTCTTGTTTCAGACATATGTAGATGTCTTTAGATTCTTGTGATACTTTAATAATCCTATTTACCATAAAGACTGCTCATTATTCTCCTTTGACACAATAATGAACCTCTTCTCATCTTTACGTCTAATGATCTCAGCTTTCCTGTCACACTTTTTATATTTATTTATGCAACAGATTCACAGTTCACACCTGTAAGACCGTTTCACCCAAGTCAAACTCATCTAGTCAAAAATGCTTTTTTTGTTTCKCTTTATTGAAAATGTACCAGCTTATAGAAGAACCTGATGTCAAACCAGTTATTTATAATCCACTTTATATTAATGATTTATAAATCATTTTATTCTGATTTGTTTACTATTACATAGTTTTCTACTTGTTTTGAAATTAAATTGTTCTCTGTTATTTGATAGCAGTTTTGTAAACAAGTGCCTGAGTGAATGGGAGTTATGAAAGATAATATGACCCTGATAGGAAAGACTGGCAAGAGGCAGAATAATTTGAGTTCTCCGCAGACGTGGAAGACAGACAGACATTTGTTTTTACCCCCACTGGGAATGTCCTGCTTTGTAAGCTAATAGCAGGAGTAGAACCGTCCAGAATTACAGTATGTGGCTAGTACTTGTGTGTGTTTAAGTGTCCCACTGCATAAATATAAATATTACAAATTGAAACTATGTGTGCCACTTTGCCTGCAAACATGCTGTAGTGCCATATGCGTGTGGTTTTTTTTTTTTTTACGAGCACAGCTCAGCCTGTGATACTAGTGAACAGCTTGAGAGCGAGCTGTCTGTCATCTAGCTGCTAATGTAGCAGCGATGCCAAGTTCTGCGAAACAGATGGGACGAAAAGAGCAACAATTGGAAATGTGACATCTGAACATACAGTACATGTTGTTACAAAGCAGCACAGCTTCGGCCCTTTCGGACGCTGTGGGTCTGATCTTCTTTTRCTCCTCAGACTTGAAAGTGCATTACGTCAGAAAGCAGTTTTTATGATTAAAAACTATCAGCCCCCATAATTAAAAAAAACACCAATTGAATCAGTATTATTATGTGGTTATGTGTTCAATGATCATTAGTCTCGGGTTATTTTTTATTTTGCAAAAATCTAATTTTTATAACCAGCTGGTTGTGTAAAAAAATAAGAAAAAAAGTTTGCATGAAAGGCTAGGACACTTTTGAGAGTGCAAAGATCTTGGCCTCTTAAATAAAAGGCCACACTTTTAATGTGAGCCATTACCAAGGATAAATATACAGGCACCCAAGAGATGTGGATTAAAGCAGGTGACTGTGACTAAATTTGACTTAGCACAAATAATTTGGCAGTAGAGCAGGGGATTGGGTAATGTTCGTGAGTGCTTTATAAAAGCAGATCAAATATTACTGCCTTGATATAGTCCCTCTCTCTAAGACAGCATTAAAGGGATTCATGATTAGTTGTAACATTAGACTTTATTTGATAAACATTTATTTTAACTGTGAAAAAAAAGACTGTATAAATACTGTAGGCTGTTTAGTTTTTATCATTTTCAAAAATATATATATTTTAACACGGTTGGAACCATTTTATTTACACACAAAGCATTCTGGGTAAATGATGACGTGGATAGGTCCTCAGTGCGAGGCTGCTAGCGAGCTATATCCACCCTGAAGGTTAATCTTGGACAATATCTGATGATTGACTCTTGAAACCAGAGAGCGTTGACAGAGAGGAGAAGGTAGAAATGACTCAGCCTGAAACTGAAAATATGGATGGAGGACAACAGAGCTGCTTCATGTAGAAGAACTTCAGCTTAGCCTGTTAGCTTTAGCACAGACGCTGTATTGCCTTATGTATTAGCTTGGTGTTAGCGCGACAAACTACAAGCTAAACTGAGGTCCTCCATCCATATTTTCAGCTGCAGGATGAGTCATTTTTACATTCCCCTCTGTCATGTGGATGGAGYACCTCAGTGACGAGAGGAGAATGTGTAGCGCTGAGCCAATACATATGTGATAGCGTCGGGGCTAATGCTAAAGCTAACATGCTAAGCTGAGGTTCTTCTTCCATGAAGCAGCTCTGTTGTCCTCCATCCATATTTTCAGTTACAGGCTGAGTCATTTCTACCTTCTCCTCTCTGTCAACGCTCTCTGGTTTCATTTAAAAGAGTCGATCATCAGATATTGTCCAAGATTAACCTTCAGGGTGGATATAGCTCGCTCACACCGAGTACCTATTCACGTCATCATTTACCCAGAATGCTTTGTGTGTAAATAAAATGGACCCATCCGTAATAAATTTTTAAAGTTTTAGTTTAAAATTATAAAAACTAAACAGCCTACAGTATTTTTACAGTCTTTATTTTACAGTAAAAATATATGTTTATTAAATACAGTCTAATGTTACAACTAATCATGGATCCCTTTAACAACAAAAAGATCCAGAGTAAGCTCTAATGTTTCAGCTTTGCTGGTAGCACGTCACGTCTGAAGTGAGTTTATGGGGCGCGTAGGAACAGACACTGACAGAAAAAAGTTTATTTTCTGCACCATCTTAGCTGAATAAAGCTGAATTTTCAGGGCTCCCATTGATGTGTGTGTCGAAAACGTATTTGCATGTATGTAAAAGAAACTAGTGTGTTAGTGGAACAATGTGCTATAAATAGGTCTTCTCAGGGCTAGATATAACCGTCCAGTAAGGCCAAGGGGGTTGCCCTTCCATAAAACCAGAGACTTAACATGCTCCATACTTCTGTGAGTTTCTGTTACACGTCCAGTGGCCAAGTTCCAGCTAACGCCAGCTATCATTTGGTGTGTCCACGGGGATAAAACAGAAGAATTAAGCTAAATAACGTTCAGGCACCAGTCACGCACATGCGAGTATTATCATACTCTAATTAAAGCTCTAACCTATTAGTTGAGTCCAGATTGTAAGAGGAGAGCGTTTAAAGAGCACATTCTRACCCTGTGTTCATTTCTCAATGCAAGGGATGAAGTGGGATGTCCTGCCATGTCACGTCCGTGGTTTCTCCCATCTGTTATGCTGGGCATCAAGGGTGCGCCGAATGGTTCAGAGAAACTACGCATCATGTGCCTCATGTGCTCCCTGTGAGCTCCAAATGGATCCCTGTTAGAGAGCATGAGAAATAAAAAGAAAATAATATTTACAGAGATATCAAATTTTATAAAAAAAAACATGCCTCCTGTCACTTCCATCAAGCTCTTAATTAGGGGTAAATTCCTCAATGAGCACACCATGCTGAAATAAGAAGCAGCTCTAAAATAAATTTAGCCACCCCTAAACACTRGACTCAGAAGTTGGGTCAAGTGCAGCCACGTTAACTCTGCAGGCATCCACTCATGGGACTTGTCAAAGTCAATGCAGCTCGGTGTCACACTGAACACTTTGTTCACAAATTTATTTTTTCTTAAATGGTACAAGAGCTGAATTGTTTTTATTTTCATTGACTGTAACGACACAGCTGTGTTGATAAAGTTAAGAAATGAACACACTAAAAGCAACATTTTAAATGTATTTCAAATTTATTTTTTAAAATTTTGAGAGTACACTAGCCGAATATCATCAAGTTTTTTTTTATATATGGCAGCTGTTGATAAGTAATGGAACATTTTGAAGACGCCTTTTTTATTTAATGAGTTACAAATATTAAAAATATTAAAATAAACAAAAGACATACAATATGCCCATTAGGTCAGCCTATGTCTATTACTGTTCTTGTAACAAGAGACTAGCAGTTCAAATCTAAATTATCGTATTACTATGTTATTACAATTTTGCAGTTAGTAATGTAATTAAATAAAACAGGTGTAGCTACTCACGAAAAAAACGGATCCTCGTCAAAGTCCCTCAGCATACTGTTAAACATTTCTGCGGACTTTAACGCTGTGACACAACACAAAATGGSTAATTTCCAATAATTACCCCGTKGCCAACTCCCTCCTCTGCTTGACCCGCTTTTAATGAAGGTGGCCGGCAGCTGAGCCGAACGTCACTCAGACACAGGCCACGTGACGCTAATGCCCGTCGCTCATTGGCTGCTTCGTGAGGCGCGTTTGACCAGGTTCCAGCCACGCGTCTCGTGTTGTGGGTGGCTTGTCATGGCAACGGCGCTCGAGAAGTTTCTTTTTTTTTAAAAAATAACTTTATCAGCGCTGTTTACATCTGGTTATCTTAAAAGAAATCACGCAGAAAGGCGTATCTATTCAAGGTAGTAGTAGTAGTAGTAGTAGTAATAATAATAATAATAATAATAATAATAATAATAATAATAATAAAACAGACTGGAAGGAATACAACTAATAAGTGATATAGATTAAAAAAGTACATTATAACATGCATTACTTTATATGAGCACATACTAAATGTTGAGAAGTAAGGTTCTAAGGTGATTTTAAGCTTGATACTCAGTTGYGTCACTATCATTTAGGGAAAATATCCTGAGGCTTATTAAAGGAGGTATGTGCTCACATACTCAATGTGTGTGTTTGACTTAGCGAATCATTTTAATGATCCTAATAATTATTTCATATCAGCGCTGACTTTTTTTGGGAGAAGATGAAAGTGACACCACGTCCCAGACTCGGTATAAATTTACCATTTGGTAGTTCCACAAATAGATTTTTGTGTTGACTCATTTCCACAAAATTATCTGAACACTTTCAAGACCTCTTTAAAAAGTAGTATTATGGATACTTTATAATAAAGTATGAGATGTGAAAGATTATCCATACAGTTGCTAATGTCAGTCTTGTTGCAGAATTGAGGTAAAGCCAATATCATGTCAACACAATTAAAAAGGAAATATGCTTATTTAATTTCAGGAAAGCAACAAGTCTTTTTTTTGTCAAAAAATGAAATGCTGTTTATTGTAGTTTAGAAAAATATTACAATTCAACTGCAACAGCTGTAGGCAGGTAAAAAAAAACAGCTTTTATTTATTGAACAGTGATTAAATGCTGTCAGAAAAAGTAAAATGAGAGAATATTTTTTCCAAAATGATCCAAATATGCATGTTGCTAATTTAACAGCTGAAATTAAACATTACAGCTTGATTTTGCAATTAGGAGACAGTCCCAAAACCTGTCACTGTGTGTCCTCCCATTTGTTCCTTGTCCAATATGAAAACAGAATAAAGCACAACACCCGCTGCTCATAGTGTGACACAGTGTGTACAGTTTACTAAACTGAGGGAACAGATTTTATTTTTACCCATGACCCCTGGAGGGCTCTGTACAAAATGAGTGCTGCCACGGTCTAATGGCAGTAAAATTATGACAAGGACTTTGAAGAAATAAAAGTGAATGAGGTAAAGATTTAGACTAAAACTGTTCTCAAAAAACAGATTTCTTTTCTTCAGGTCACAGGACTTCCCATGAGCCTCTCCTGTCGCAGGGAGATCAGTCTGTTCAGCCACAGTTCCTTAGCTTTCTCCTTGTCCATGAATAACTGTAAGAGAGTGTAGAGAGGACATGGTGGTAAGATAAAAAAACATAGACAAAGATCTTAAAATCAAAAAGTTCTACAATTTAGTTTTACTTTCCTTTGTTTGGGATGTGCATAAATGCAGCGATAAATGAAGATCTGTGTATTATTACACTGAGATGAAAATAAAAAATCAAAACACTGCTATGAAACTCCAAAATAAACAACAAAAAAGAGGAATATAATAAATAAAAACATTTTACATAATAATAAATAAATAAACAACAACAAAAAAATAAACTAAACTAAAAATATAACATCAAAAACATTTCCCAAAACAGTTGGAATTAAAGTGTTCCTTTTTTGCTCAAGATCAGTCCAAATTCATACCTATTCATTTTGCAATAACGTATAGGAATGCTGCTAATACTAGTCCTTTTAGAAAAAACAATTCCTGTTCTGTTTGTTATAATGTTGTTAATGTTTATAAAGCTTCCAAAATAACTAAAACAATAAGACGGTGGTTTTATAAATAAGTTTAGACCTTCATGGCACATCAGTTGRTTTTCCTGCTCATTTCCCTCCATGTGACCTCAGAGTAGTTGCTGACATGGATATGATGTTCTAATACTACACTGACAGGTGCATCTCATGTATTTTTGGTTCTGTTTGTTACGTCCGCAATGCACACAAAATACTTTAACATCCAGCCATGTGCTCCTGGAAAAAGGCCTGCATATGCTACTGGTTTCCAGTGCAGTTCATCACTGACAGTGATGATAGTGACTGTGAGAGGGCTGTAAAACCGCTGCCCTGAGAGTCTGATGAATGAAGGCATCAGTTTATTAGGAAGTAACACAATGACTGAGACGCAGGACACTGAGACATCAGGGACAAATGTCAGATTATTTCTACATTCCCTGCATGTGTTTGGGTGGTGGTGGGGGTTGATAATGTTGACARGCTGCTGATGTGTACATACTGTACATCTGGGTGGTGATGTGTCTATTACTATGCAGATGGTGGAGGAACTCCGAGTCCGTCAATCCTTCATTTCCAACCTACGCTGTGTACAGCTACGCTGCCTGTAATCTGTGTGTTAGATTCAACACCAGCGGGTTCTTGTTTGTCGGCCCTGAGCTGGTGTCATGGTGCTAATGAGGCTGTGTGTGTGGGATGACAGTATCTGAACCGGGCTAATGGGACTCATCTGTTCTAATTGGAAGTGGAGCTGGAGCTGGAGCTGGGGCCGGGGCCCGCCTGGGGCATATTGCTACCATATATCAGCCTGTCTGACAGTGGATGAATGCACATGTGTGAGTGTGTGTGTGTGTGTGTGTGTGTGTAGTGGGCTGGGAGGGGTGTTGTGCATCTCTGTGAGTGGGTTATCTGCATACATCAGGGTATAACTTAGTTTCCCCAGTGGAGATAGATGACTGGGAAGCCCCAGGGAGCGTTATTGGAGTTTAAAGTTTTTCCTTCTCGTTTTTCATCATTGGTTTACTGGCAGAGGAGGAGGCGATGTTAGGAAATCGTAAACTGGTATACTGAACCGGATCAGAATATGCAGGGATGGTGGATGGCAGAAATAGCAGAGGTACTAGTGGTGTTTTCAAAGGAAAAGTTTACAAAGTTTGACCACAAATTACTCAATTCTGGTGTTGCACTTAAAAAAAAGACAAGAAATAAAAAGATCTTTAACTCCGAATGAGAATTATAAATTCTCAGCTGCTTACAAACGGTTTAAAAAATCTGGTGCATAAACGAAGTGTGGCTGGTGATAACTTACACTGGGATGAGCAAGTGTGTCAGTGTCTTCGTAGACTATAGACATGGGAAGAGTGATGTTCTGAGAACTTGTCTTATCAAACTCCTGCTTCACCTCTTTCTGTGTTCAGAGAAAAACAAACAAACAAAAAAGATAACATAAGTACAAACAAACTAGACATTTACTGGCATTGTTGCAGACAAAATACATTAAATACGACATCATTAAAAAAAGGAAAAGGAAGGCAAAACTTCTAAAACATTTAAACAAACTGCAAAAGTCTTAGAATCATGTTATTGGCAACAGATATATATTTCRTATAAGTCCAGAAGGATTCTTTGAAGATATATGTACAGTAACAAATAATAATAAAACTATAATAAGACCGATTTAAATATTATGAATACCAGTTGCCATGAGGATTAATTCTAACTTGCAATTTGATATTTGTCCAGCAGATGGCAGGAAAGGACCAGTCTGTGATGTCAACTTTGAGAAAAAGTATTGAAAGTAATCAGGCAGAAACAATTTGTTATATACCATTAGATTGTTGTGCATGTGTGGGTAATAATATATAAACACTTTACTCTTGTTTCGGCTAAGGTAATTTAGTATTGATTAAATGAGTGGTTTTAGTCTTTCTAATGCAGGTGATTACTGACGCTAAAACTTGTATGTGTTAAAACAAAAGTTTGTGACAAGTTAACTTTGTCAGATGAAGAGCAACATTTTGTACTGAGGGGAAAATAGTTGTTTCACATTACTTTAAATGAGAGCAAAAGCTTCTAAAAAAGTACTTAAACTTGTCCACATTCTAAAGGCTAAAACAATCTTCCTATATAAATGGAAAGTCTGGTTTTATTGTTGCTCTTGAAATAATATAAACATCAAAATATACTTTTTTTCCCCCAAATCCAGTTACATTTTGTACACTCCTGATCTAAGCCAAAGAGCAAATCTTAACCCAGCTGGAAAAAAAAATATTTTGGAAAAAAAAAAGTCATTTTATATTCAAAAACTGAATTTGACTTGGTGATGTGCCAAATATCAGGCAGTGAAATTAGTCATCACATTCTCAGGGAACAAGCAGCTGATTATACTGTTTTGTTTGTTCGTTTTTGTTTATACAACTTACTCAAAAGTAAAAAAAAAAACAGCTTCCCTCTAACTGGTTTTAATTTCCTCAATAGCCAGTAAAACAACTTTTCTGACCTCAAAATATGTTTAAAATTATTAATAGTTATTCCTTGTTGCAAACATTAAGATTAAAAAATAAAAATATAAAAAAGAGCAAAGAGTTCAATTTCAATTGCTGGTAACTGTTTGGTCGCTTAATATATTCTGCTACACAATACACTAATCATTTTAAAATTTACATGGAAATATGTAGATAATAACTGCACTCATATTTAACTCTCTAAAAACAATTGGTCTGCATATTTGACTGTAGTTGTGAGTAATGCACACAGAATTAAAACATGATGGGATGTTAGTCCTGTAAACTTGATTCTGTATTTTCATTAGAATGCTTTAACATTCTAAAAGAGCAAAACTACATCTATTCTCCGCTAAAGTTAAAAAAAGTTTTTTTGTTATGTAGAACTGACTCTACTGTGATTTTTTTTTCTTGTTTGTTTATATTTTTCTGCTGAACATGGTGTGCAGACTGGGGTGTACATCTACTAGATAACATCCTGATAAATTCTCTAACTCAATACACGACAGACACAAGACACTGAGCAATCTGTGGTGTCTGTCCATGCCAGGGCAAACTGGAGCCCACTGGGTCATGACCTTTGTCAGACTCACTACAGCGAGTCCCAACAGTCTTTGTAGGCTTGCTGTCACATGTTGTCGCTTGTTCTCTAAAAACAGCCGTGAGCCCCAACAAATCTAATTCCTGCTCCTTCAGAGAGAGCAACATTTCAATAATGACCTCTGTGTTTTGTCTGCATCTGCACAACCAGAGTGGGGGGTGGGGGTCGCAGGACGGCTGCTGCCTGCTGTGGCTTTTGTGTGGGTGCTGCCGCGTTGGAGCCAGCGAACAGCGGAGCGTCTGATGAAACAGTCTCAGGTTGGAACAAAACGGCGCTGCAGAGCACCTTTTGATTTGGTCTGGGCTGTCTCTGGACAGACGGCAGAGCAATCCAGAGAGGAAAATTCAATAAGAGACGGGTGAAAAGCTAGAAGAGTGAGGGGCCACGAGTGAAAGAGAGACAGAACGCACCTTTATGTCATCCCGGGATGATTTGAAAGCCTGAGGAACAAAGGAATCACTCTCGATGGCCTCAATGTCCTTTATCCTTCGCACTTGCTCCTCCAGAGAAGTTCCCTCTGAAACACAGAGAGAAGCCATGAACAAAAGCACACACATACACATCAAAAAAAAAAGACACATGTCCTCAGACACACACAGTGTCTGCTATTTCCTGTCATGTTCTGAAAGGCACCTGATTTCATCCAGATTGGGCACTCCCTCTTGTTTAATACCTTTTGACACATACAATATGAGATATCTGATATTCTCCTATTTTAATCTCGCCCCCCCCAAATAGAAACGTACTTATGCCTAGCCAAGGATGCAGACTTCTTACAAAAGATAAAGAATAAAAAAAAATACTAACAAGATAATAGCCAAACAGTGAATTACACTCAGATAATGGCATTCTAAAATAATCAAAATATGAACACAAACTCAATGCAGTGCAATTTCATTACGGAGAGGAAATGTGATTAAGTTTCATATAACTCTCGTGTATCAGAGAGTAGACTTCTCTGGCTTGTCCAATCTAACAAAAAGACACAAAGAGTTTCCAATAAATTACTCTTGGATATAAACACATCAGGATTCTGCATATCAGATAACAAATCATTTCAAGAATCCAAGAGCAGTCTTTGGAGCGTGGGAGGGCAAAAATAGGTGTGCCGGGGAAGTTAGCGACAGCGAGGAGGGGGAGAAAAAGAAAAAGTCTGAACGCTCTCATTATTTTCCGGCTGTCAATCTTTCTACTGATCAGTCAATATTCATCCCTCTCTTTCCCATCCATCCGTCCTCTCCTGCACTCTCCCATCTCTGTATCTGTCAATCCAGCAGACATCCATGTTTCCCTGCTGCACCGATGTAGGCTGTGTCATGCAAACAAGTACACAACATGGTCAGAGTGGGACACAGGAACTGAAGTACGCCCACGTGGACATGCAAACTTACAAACTCACATTCGCAGCTTGCAGAAACACATACTGTGTGRGCGTCCTTCGAGGTGCGTGCACACYGTATGCATTTCGGAGCTGATTACAGGAATTAATTCAATCCATTAGCAGATACAGAAAGGGTGTCACAACAGATCTTCGTGGCCCCGCTGTTTAATGAATAAATGAATATTTGGTCCAGCAGTCGCAGCAAAATGTCACACACTTTATTAAGGTTCATAACAGCACTTCAACGAACTCGGGTTTGATTTTGACGCAGTGCAGAATTGGACAAGTGACTGACGAGTGGAATTAAGCCTTTCTATATGACAGACTATCAGCTTGTCATCCAGCACGGGAAGATGTGAGCAGAGACACATCACACAGCGGCTCCAAAAATAGTCATTACCTTGACTGAACACAGGCCCAATATCCTCCTGAAGACTGTGGCCTGTCCTTCACACAGCTATCACCACTGCAGGGCTGCACAAATGTGTGTGTTTCATTGGAATCTAACGCCCGTGACTGCCCCACAATTAATTCAGCAGAGTTAATTRGTTTTTTTCAATTACCCCTTCTCCGCTGTCCTTTCAGCATGAATGCCCTACATAAACAATAGCCACACTGACATGTACACACATAAACACACACACACACATGCTCGTATCTGCTAGCATCTACTTGGCGAGCCCGTCGGTTGCTGTGCTGTCCGCGTGTGGCGCAGGAATCCATTAAGGCCTCAGACTTTTTGACAAACACATTATTGGTAGATAAAATGACTTCCATATGCTGTTTGTCAGATGTCAGCGGGAAAAGATATGTATTTCATGAGAAAATCAAAAATAATGGACTTTGAAAACGGGCTAAGCAAGCTCAGAGGCAGGCAAAAGAAATCAATACTCTAGCTGGGTGAGCGCACTCTGCAGCTCCAAGAGGTCAAAGTTGATATTTAATATTGACACATTATCTGGCAAATTAATTTAACAGGTCGACTCGATTGTCACCGCATTAGGAGCGCTTCTCTGTCGGTGATGAGARGAGGATAAAGTGAAAGATGAGACAGAGAAGTCAGAGGAGGAGTGGGAAAATAGATAGGGAGGAGGGAAAAAAGAAGATGCAKGTAAATACACTGTAGATGCTGCTTTAAATCAAGTATAACTAATGCTCTGCTTCAGGTTTGAATAATTGATAGTGGGAAAAATATGTGCTAAAAAGTGTTCCTTGTATGATCACATTCATGAARGTGTGCYRTTTTGTGTAAAAACAAACTAAGTCAGAAAATTCACTTGCCATCTCATTACTGAAATTAGTAAGATAAGACAGCAGCACTGATGAGCAGCTCACAATCAATAGGCTATTGTTCTCTCTAAATAGCTGTTTGTCCACTTCATTGATTAAGACCCAAAGACGGGGAGAGAAAATCAAACCAGCCAATGGAAACAGATTTCAGATCGTCTGCTTCAGCCTTGAAGCCAGGGGCAGCAGTTACACAACGCTGCCAAAAGAGGGGGCTGTTCCACAACACATACGAACAACCCGAGCTGAGGTCATCCGGTGTTGTCTTTGTATACTTGACTTTGGTCTACAGTTTGTCAATCAAGAGTAGCTGAGCCAAATATATTGCTGCTGCTGATTAGTTCCAGTAATTGACTGCACTAGCGATCCAGCTGAATTACTGCAGCACTTGTTTTATAGGAAAAATAACTGAAAGGCAACTGCCTGTACCTGAACCAAAATGTCTTGTTATTTAGCTTTTAAAAAAATGTAAGAGCATTTATTGTATATATAAAAATAAAAAGGCTACAGCGTAAAAGGACAAACTCTACCCTTGAATTTATGACGTTGTGAATGTATAATGCAATGTGTTGTGACTTTGAGACTTACTGAATTAAAACGAGAACTTTTACTTTAAATTGATGAATTTCATCAAAGCAATGTTTCTTTTAAATGCATTAAAAGCCACAAAGGCTTGTTTTAAATGTAATCTTCCTTGCAGTCCCTTTTATGTATTATTGAAGCACCACACCCCGGCCACATCAAGTCCAAAAAGAAACCTGACAACTTCTTGCATCAGGATGAACATATTTAAGTTTTATACCTTGAGCCTTGTTTTCACAAGTACACACTCTGCAGCATCCCCTGATTTCCCAGGTTTCAGTAACGCGCCTTTGCCTCCTCTGCCTCCCCCCCTCACACCGCCTCTCTCCCTGCACCGAGGTAAAGATGTGTAATTCAATGCTCAATTTAGGCTGTCTCAGTGGAGATTTTTTTGCCTGCTAATTGATAGAAATTAAGCCATTAATCAAGCCACGAGCCATCATTCAACCCAGGGAAGATGAATACAAACTTTCATAATAACCACCTTCCCCATTTTAGCCTTCATTAGCATTAATTTTTAATGTAATTATGCTATTCTTTTACACTGAGCTCATAAATTACTGCTCMTTTGTTGCTGGCTGGCCTTGTAAAATCCAGAGTAATGCTTTGTAGTCTGATCTTTAAGGCAATTACTGGCTTCTTCACTCTTTTATCTCCCTGCATTTCCAATAACCTGCTCTCTAATGATTTATCTCCGCTGCGTGCACCCCCCCCACTACACACACACACACACCCTCGCTGCCACCATCTCCACCCCAGTCCCCTTCCTGTCTGTCTCTCTCGCTCTGCACCAACTGCCCTGCTGCCAGCCTTCACCTAAAGTACCTCGTCCACCTACGTTCCCTTCACGTCTTTTTCAGCAACTCCGGATCTGGTAAACACACCAACACGTGCGGCCTAACTACATTAACACAATCAAAAGCCCATAAGTGCATTTAGTGTGTGCGAGTGAACTATCTTTGTTTACCATCTCCTTTAATCATTTTCCAACTTCATTAGTAAATATCCAGCTCCAGCAATTGCAGGAACACCAGGGGGAACGTCATGTTAGGAGACCGATGCTGCAGCTCACTCTCTCTGTCTTGGCTGCTCTCCTGTGGGTCTTACCTGTAGGCTAAGCTGCTCCTGTTTATGTGACCCCTGAGCTGAGTAAACTCACACATACATGCATGCATGCACGCAGGCACACACTCGCAGATCTTGGCATCAAACAGTTGAGTTGAGCTTAGAAGGACTGCGTGCTGCGGGCGATACAGAGGCTTCAATCTGGCCCTGTGTGCAGCAGCAGCAGCACCAGCATCCTGGCTGCAAGTCTTTATTGGACAATTCTTCAGGCCAAAACAACAGGCTGCTGCAATGAAGGGCTGGGAACATGAACTATTTGGTCTAAAAAAAGTTAAGAAATGTATATAATTTACTTATTACTGTTGAGTTTTCCTTGTTGTGGATTTAGATTATCATCTGCCTGGAGTCTGCAATCTTACTCCTAAAGATGTTATGTAAAATATAACAGTTTTAACACTGTCTAAATTAAAAAAAAAATAAAACCTGACAGACTATGTTAAGACAAAGAGCTGCCTAATGGGGACCTTTGTTGGGTTGGGTATGACTGGTCTGGAGATGTATTAAGTAGCTTAAGCTTAAGTAGTCGCTTAGATCTACAAATGTATTGATTCCAACTGATAGCAAGAAGCGCAAAGCTTAATGAAAATATTTACACAAGCAATATTTCTGAAGCTTTAGAAAGTGAAAAGTGGGKCTTTCATGAGAAAAACTAGAAATATTGTAGGTGACAATGAGTATGATGAGCGCAGACGAAAACAAAATGAGTAACTTCTTCCTTTTCACTATTTAAAGCCGTCATAAATAAACAAATAACAAATAACAAATCTATTTTATTTTATTTATTGTAGTTAACCTGAAAACTGAAAGTAAAAAAAAAGATTAAAATGGTTCTAACCCAACCAGCTTTCCACAAAAAAGACTAACTTCCTGTGGTTTAGTCAACAATAAATAAAATCCCATATAAAACACAGAATATTGTTGTGTTCATTTATGGTGACGTTGTGACAATGACAAACTTGAGGCTGTGATGCTGACACCCACCCAAAGCCTGCAGCAGACAGGGTCAACAGATCACCCCAAAATGAAAGAAAATTCTACCAGGCTGAGCCAGATGTCCCAAGTCTGTCCCCAAGGAATGTCCGTACATGTATGTATGTGTTTGTAACTTGGAGCTTGAGCAGCGTGATGTCAAATGACAGAGC